AAAGTAAATTTTGTAAAAAAAAAATTCCATTTTTTCCGTATTTTACTTATAAATGGACTTAGTTTTTCTGCCAAGAAACATTACATTCACTCTGTGGTTAAAGTTTTTGAAATTTTAATAACTTTCTTAAACTATCCTGGATTTCTACCAAACTTGGAAAGAAGCTTGTTTATGATCATAAGATAGTATCCAGAAGTAAATTTTGTAAAAAAAAAAATCCATTTTTTCCCATATTTTACTTATAATTGGACTTAGTTTTTCTGCCAGTTAACATTACATTCACTCTGTGGTTAAAGTTTTTAAAATTTTAACAACTTTCTTAAACTATCCTGGATTTGTACCAAACTTGGACAGAAGCTTGTTTATGATTAAAAGCTAGTATCTAGAAGAAAATTTTGTTAAAATTTTGTTCGATTTTTTCCGTATTTTTCTTATAAATGGACTTTGTTTTTCTTCCAGTTAACATTACATACAGTCTGCAGTTTAAGTTTTTAAAACATTTATTAGATTCATAAACTATCCTGGATTTTTACCAAACTTGGACAGAAGCTACTTACAATCAAAAGATAGTATAGAGAGGAATATTTTTATTAATTTTTTTCCTCATTTTTGTTGAGCCTGCGATTAACAGCAAAAGTAGGCGAGACACTGGGTTCCGCGGAACCCTTACGAATTTTTAACAATTCGGGCGTATTTAATATTTGGATAATTGGTGTTAGCTTGCCTTCACACAGTCTATCGCTAATGTGAACACCTCCCCTTACAGTCGTCATTGTAAATTACAAATACAAAATTCGTTCATTGTCGGTATATGTAACATTTATTTGTTTAAACTTTAATTTAAATGAGAGAGAAATGCGATGTTCTCCGAGCTTTCTCCTTTTTCGTAGCGAGTACAAATACATGTTATATTTTCCTACAATGTACAAACTAATGTTTTACCCGACAACTTATAATTTACGCATGAAAACATGTACCTTTATTTTACCAACTTTGATTTTCAATAAAATCCACAATATTTTAATGGAGACCACAAAGTAAACTGCAACGTAAACAATGATTTAAATGTATCCGTTCGCTTCCAATTCCAATAGAAGCAGGATACAGGAAACTTATGCGTATACTATTTTGTATCTATATAGTAAAATGGTCGACTGCAGGATACAAGTCCTTCTAGCACCCGAAAAAAAAACACATTTGCTTCAGCCGAAAAAGCACGGTTAGGTTTAGATTAATTAAGTCATGGACATTTGGTTTAAAAGTTGTTAATCAAATATTCTTAATTTATCTTCCAGCATGTTCATTTTTGGTTTGTATGAACGACTGTTAATGTCATAATCCAACTACGTTTCTTACGTCTAAACTTTCGCAGACCATCATACTTTAGGGTATAGAGGTATCGCACTTTAGCGCAGACCATCGCACTTTAGCGTGACCATCATACTTTAGCATCCCCATCGCACTCTAGAGTCCTACATATATATATGGAAAATTGCATTGTAAGCGCTCTCGTGCACAATTTTTCCAATTTTTATCAAATGATTATCAAAGATTTATATAAGCAATATCTCTGAAAAGGTTGAAAATCGGTGGAGATTAAATAATTTTAAAGGAGGTCTGTCTGCCCCTTGGAATAATTACTAGAACATACCTGTGAAATCGCGGGCAATTAGAGCGTGGTTGATAGTATGTTAACTTGTAGGATGAATTTTTGTAAAAGATTTTATGACGAGAATTTCAGGAAAGGTATCAAAAGTATCTTAAACATAAACTGATGTCAATATAACATTTTGAATTTTTCACCAGTTCAAAATATTGGATGTAAATCTAAAGAATGTCAACGAAAAGGTTAACTATTTGTAGTAACATGAACGCACAATTTTCAGGACTGTTTAAAATTACACAGAATTTTGGTAAATTTACAAATAACCCTTAATTCCTAACTTGATTACATACAATGTTTTGGGTATCTGAGCTACAGGAATCGGTATCAAACATTCCTTCGGACACTGGAAGCGATAAAAATCTGATTTCTTGGGACCCCTGAAACCAGTATATAATCATGTTTTAATTAAGAAATAATTCATGCAAGCCATGGATTTGTTGAAAATTTTCACATGGCCTGAGTCGTTATATTGGAATTTTACGTAAGCAAGGGATAAAATTAATGAATGTATGGGAAATTTCATTGTAAGCACTCTAGTGTGCACTATTTTTCCAGATTTTTATCAAATGTATATCAAAAATTTTTAAATGACCAATGCCTCTGACAAGGTTGAAAATCAGTGCAGATCAAATATCTTTAAAAGAGTCATTCCTAAAGATATTATGATTTTTCTGTTTTCTCATTTGAAAGATTAATCCAAATGTTAAGCAAGTCAAACAGGCCATTTTGAAAAAAAAAAGTTCCCAAGTGATGACGATTAAACAAAATATGTATTTGAGAGCAAATCTTATAGCATACAAAAGACCTTGAAACCTGAAAGAATATCACAAGTAGATGTCTGTTGATTGATTAACAAATTATGCAAGAAGGTGGGCTGATGTCTGCATTCTGTTGGTTCACCTGGCCCATAGGACCAATGGGAGCTATTGCCATCACTTGGGCGTCTGTTGTCTTCCATTATCTTTTACAGAAATCTACTCTTCTGAAATCATTAGACAAAATGGAACCAAAGTTGGCCACAATCATCATTGGTTTTCCAGTTAAAAAATGTGTCTAATAATAGCAAAAATTATCAGCAGAACAAGATGTACAAAGGATGCAACATGGCTTAAATTGTCAATGGACTCTTTATAGTTGTTGACCTTTAGTGCTGATTTTTTTACCCATTTTTACATTTTTGGCGAAAACTCAAGTAGGCAAAGAAAAATATTAACAGCTAAAACAATCAGCAAGAAAAGAACTACAAATTGGTCGACATATCTGAGACTATCAGCTAACTTCTTGCAGGAATAGTTTATTGCCTTTATATGACAATTTCTACCACATTTTAATGGTTAGAGCAAACACTATAGACAATAGAGAGAAACTGGAGACAGTTAAAAATAATCAACTAGAAAGATCTCCACGTAGTCGTCAAGCCAGAAATGGTCAGTCCAGTAATTCAAAAAGTTATTGCTAATAAATGACAATTTTTTTTATGTTTCGGGTAAAAACTAAAGTAAGTAGACGGAGATAAACTGTATACAGTAAAAGCTATCAGCAATACTAAATTAACAAATTCGAGATTTTATTTATGAATTAAATTCCAGTCTACAATGTTTTTCTCTTCATATAACACCGTTTACTGTGAAACGATTGTTATTGTTTCTCTTCTCGTATTGCAGCTCAACTGACATCAATTTGAATTAAAACATGTATTCAGTAAAATATATGTGAAGTTGCAATGTTCCATGGGAGATGATATTGTCTCCCTAAAAACTTTAAATTGAACATGTTTATTGCAATTCAAAAATAACTTCGATTTGGTAAATTTTATGACTAATTGAACAGTTTTATTTGATGAAACAAATTGCAATTTGGTCAGAATTTGGTAGAAGGAAAGAAAGGCAAATCAACAAGTCGCAGTAGAAGAAAACTCTCTATTCGTGTATAACTGATATCACAAAGTTGCAGCTTATTTCTTTGTTTAATAAGATATTGTAGTAATTTCAGGTAAATACCTCGTTAATAATTTATGAATTGGTATTAACCTGTAGCCCTTACAACTTTAAAGGTTACAGAAGTATAGTCAGAAATTTTAATACACAAATGTCATTAACAATTGATTTGTATGCATTGAAATAATGAATTAGAATACACGTAGTCGAACATTTTCTGTGCTCGTCTTGTAATTTTTTTTATCCGAATAACTTATCCCCAACTTCGACAAGGTTAACAGAAAATTGTTATAATATTGTTGTCATCCGACCTAATTTTCGTACATTTTAATGGAATTAAAGGTTAAGTTTTCAGTTGTCGATCTTGGCCCCTCATTAACCATACATGATTGACAATAATATTTCGTATGTAGATTGGTTGTGTTTTTTTGTATATGTCTCCCCGCGAATTAGCCTTTTTCTGCTGAGGCGGCGTAAACGCGGCAAACCACAATCAATCAATCGGTATATGTCTGACATGTTGCATGGCTAGAATTTCAACATTATTCTCCAGCAGTTGAGTTAAACTTTCAGGATAAGTTTGATCCTAACTGATGATAGGCACACAACTTAAATACTGGTTGGTTGCAAGGAATATGTGATATGTGTCAAATGCCTTGTTGTTTATAGCGAGGTTTAGTTTATCTGGATGATGTCAGATGTTTTTTAACTAGACATGATAGATCAACAATTTTTGGCATCGACGAGGGTGGTTTTTAACGACCTTGACAACCCATGAGGGTCTTGTATGGTCGGCATGCTGACTGGTTGACTTGTGAGGATTATATGTCCTATGACATGGGTTCTGGGTTATGGTTAGATCGTTTGCTAAGTAATAACATTTACACGACAGGTGCTGCGGTATTTGAAATGTAGATTGGTTGTGAAAAGAGCAAAAAATATTCAGAGATCAGGGCGGTCCATTTACAAAGCTGCCTGTGAGTAAAAGCCTTTTTCTTTTCTCTCTTTTTTTGTCGAATTCTAAAAGTAAGAGCGAAAATCGTCTAAAAATGTTTAGAGTCATGAGAATTGAATATAAGAATGAGAAGATATGGTGTTATTGCCAAATAAGACAACTCTCCGCCAAAGACCAAATGAGATAGAAGATATAGTTAGCTATAAAAGGTCCCGAAATGACAAATGTAAAACAATTCAAACGAGAAAACTAACGGTTTATGTATAAATATGATATTAGTTCACATCTCTACATATAAATCAATGTAAATCCGACAAAGCACATCGATGTTTTTTTACAAAATCGTCAACAATATAATGTTTGGGGCATATCGGAAAAATAATGCACTAAATTTAATTTTGATGACCCTATTTTGAGACGCATGGGTAATTTGCACTCGATACAATTTTCTTCCTTGTCGGTTACCACTGAAAACAACACGTTGGTAAGTTGATTTTTAACTTAACTGTTTACGAAGTCTTGCCATTTATGTTAATATAATTGTATTAGACACAGGAATAAAAATACAAATGACAATTTGTATTAAAGAATAATATGTTGTGTATTGGACTGTGAGATATCCAATTGGCAATATTTTGTTATAGAGAATCTACTTTCTTCCCATTCAACTGCTATACTTGCCACTGGATATGTTTACTAAAGCAAACCACAATCAATTAAGTTTTCCAAATACCTTCAAATATCGACAAATTTTATGAAGTTATGTTTTATTATCATTATCAAAATTGAAGTATTCAAATTAAGAAAAATGAAAAACAATGAAATTCAAAAGATGAAAAGGAAACAATGCAACACAACCAAACTGGCGTTCTGCACGTAAGGCATACATGTGTGAACCGTTCAAACAAGGTGTTTGTATATTCAAAATCCACTTAGATGTTGCATTGTTTTAACAATAATTTGAATTGCTTCTTATTTTATAAACAACATCCATTGCGCAAACATTTCGTGTCCATTTTTTACTAGTTACACGTACTTTACTCATTAACCTATCGTACAAATAAATTCAAAAGAATATAAACGATTTTAGGAATTTATCAGGGAATGACCGACTTTTTGTAAGCGTGACTCGTGAAAGTCAAATTATTTTGCGTGAAAACGGGAAACGTAGTCGGGCGGGTCGCTTGAAAATTACAAGCGTTATTAATGCAATGACAAAACAATAAGCTGCTGAACCCGGAATAATAATAATAATAAAATTCTATATTTAACGAAGGTTACTCATTTAACAATGACATGTTAATCTTCCCTGAGGCCTTCAAAAACTTTTAATACAAATGGAAAGGAAAAAAAATACAAACAAAATTAAATACTTAATACAGTTATATAAAGCAGCTTAAATATTGAATAAGTACATATGCATTCAAAAGAAGAAGAAAAATACATTAGATTCAGGTAACTTCATTCTGTAAGTTAAAAAATAGTTTGAACATTTGATCTTAAATGTATCTAAATTATTTATTTGTTTAATATTATTTGGCAAATTATTCCAGGTAATAAGATCAGAATTAGGTCTTGGTACATGAAGAAGTCCTGATGTTGTCGACCTGAGACAATAATTATAAAGATCAGTACAAGCAGTAAATTTAATACTGATAGATAATCAGGTGCTAGACCATTCATACATACTCATACCCCTTCCCCCCATGAGAGCCCCTCTACGGCATATTGGTGGTATTAGGCTATAGGCTATATTACAAACTAAGCGTTTTAATGGTGACATTTTAAGAAAAACAATGATTATTGATTGGAAAAATAAACGATTCCTGTCAGTATAAATTTGCATTTATCTTTATTATTTTAGAACAGCAGGATGTCGAGTTCAACATTAATGGTCGCCGCGATAGATTTAGGAACTACATTTTCTGGATACGCGTATTCGACGAACGCTGATTTTAAAGACAATCCATTAAACGTTAAAACAAGTCAAGATTGGTCACATGAAATTGTATCCATCAAATGTCCAACTTGCATTTTGTTTGATGAAAACAAAAAAGTGAAGTCGTTTGGGTATGACGCTGAAGATGACTACACAGAAATTGTAGTGGAGAAAAGACAAAATGAGTATTATTTCTTCAAGAACTTTAAAATGAATCTTTATACAAGAGAGGTCAGTATAACAGCGTTGTATACCTTATGTATGGAAGTTTGAAATGTTAACTTGTTTGTCCCTAGCATGAAGTATTAATTTGTCACATTTGTTATCTTTTTTAACATAAAAAACATGTCCATCCACATAGACGGATCCAGGGAAAAATTTGGTTGATTATATAGGGAATCACTGAAGCATGACTGGAGCGGGCCCCCCTTAGGTCAGTTAGTGCCCCCCCCCTTATAAAAAGTTCTGGATCCGCCACTGATCCAGTACATTGAAGACTAAATGCATTATCTTCTTGAATGCTGGTCATATACATTGACATGCAAATAGATGAAATTCTTATTTTTTTACGAGAATAAAACATAACTTATGTGATCGATCAAGGTTGCGTCTGTCGTGTGGGTGATTGAATATTCAATGCGTTATTGTCTTGAATTCCTTATATGCATTGGAAAGCGACTAGTCTAACCCTCGGTCTAAGCGAAGGATAATTATAAATCGAAACACTACTGTAACAGTTTTGCGATGTTGCTTTTCAGGATCTATTAACACCAAAAGATTCAGATTCTGCTATAACAGTCAGATCAAAAAAATAAAACGTTTTGGCAGGAATTGTTCACAAAATATTTTTCTTCTCTTTGTTTGAAATATTTCGTATTGGTTTTTATCTTACTTTTTTTCCTGAAAAATTCTGAATGTCTGGACGTCAATATTTCGGTTTCCAGATAAAATCTTTTCATTTATTTAAAAAAAAAATATTGGCCTTATAAAGCCTGATGGGAGAAGGAAGAGTCCTATTGTGTTTTTGCGTACTTAAAATCGTAAAAAGCCAAAGATCACGGTCACAGCAGTTAATTGACTAAATTTAAAGACATTTTGTCACAAGTTTCCGTATTTTATTTTCCCCCATATGTCCATCTTTTAAAAAAATGATTTATAAATGCTCCATCGAATTAGGAAGACCCGATTGAATTTGGGTTCAGTCACTGTAGATGATCACAAAAATATGTAATCCAAAAAAGATTGCAACTCGACTTATGTAACTTTTGTGGTTCTGTATTTTTTATATTCGATTTTATATGCTTAATATAATACACTAGTATCACACTTTTCAATTGCGTTTCACCTAACATTTATCAATCATTAACTAACCCAGCAGAAACCCGAAATAATTTTACAAGCAACCCAGGTTCATACGTGTAAACAAACACGGGTATGAACCATATGTATACAAAGTTTCTTTTTTCCGCTAGTAAATAATAAGAATTTCCCACGCCACATGTCAAAACTCTTTAAAGTGATAGTCAGAAGCCAATGTGTATAATGTCATGAAGAGAGACAAGCTTACAATGTAACAGAACTATATATGTCTCTTGGAAGAACACGTTATTTTGTTTTAACCGAAGACTTGAAAAATGAAAAGGGAATGACTAGGAAAAGTGTATTAAAAAGATCAAGTATAAACAATTTAGCCAAATTTAATTTTCCCCATAAACAAAAGATATCGGTTGCAGGATATCAAAAAAAGGTTGAAATAACAAAGAATAAAAAAAACAACGATGACAAAGAATGCAAATTTTCAACAATGGAAGTCACTTAGATATTTTGATTACAATAAAAAAAAATTGTTAAAGTAAAAGAATAACAGAAAGAAAGCATGAGAATTACATATACATTTTTGATCTGTTTAAAGAAGACATTTATATTTTAGTATACTTACACGTAATTGTATTATTTAATAATAAAGTCAAACTTATTTGGAATGATCTCATCAATATCCGTAATTGATAAGTATAAGAATCAGACCCTCAATTACATGTCTTAGAGAACTAAACTATGTTCCACGAGACTTGAAAAGCAGACCTGATTCCATGTTTTATTGTTCAGGTTATTACAAACGACTTCATGGTAGAAGATGTATCAGGTAAAGCAATGTCAGCCAAAATAGTCTTTTCAGCCTCGATAGAGTTTTTAAAGGACCATTTCCTGCTGAATCTGAAGACGAGAGGTCTTTTAGGCACATTAGTTATGGAAAATGACATAGGATGGGTGTTGACAATTCCTGCTATATGGTCAGAACCTGCAAAGAAATTCATGCGAACGTGTGCAGTGAAGGTATGAGAAAAAAATTCATAATTTTGACATGTATAATTAAACAACTTGTGTGGCATCCTTATCATCAGCATTATTTAATAAGATAATAAGACCTATCGGAAGATTGTGTTCATACTTTTCCTTGCAGTTCATTTTATGGAGTCAATCTAGGAGCTAGCTATGTCTTTCGTAAAAATAATACTGCTTTACATAATTAGAGAAACGAAAGGGGGAGGGGGATACAGTATAAGTCTGAATTGTATGAACCTATGTTTTTGGTTAATAATATTTACTTTGTACTTCAAGGCTGGATTAGGAAAAAAGCCAAATATTGCTCTTGAACCAGAGGCTGCTTCTTTATTTTGTCAGTTAGCACCATTTTGCTCAACACCAAGAGACGTAAGACAGAATACAGGTCCTTGTTTAAAATTCATGATAGTTGACATCGGAGGTGAGTATTTATCAACTTAAAGTTAGCTAAGGGCAGGCGGGATGTAGACGGGTGGATTTTCTGATATATGACAAAATTATTTTATAAGAATTTCGCTTCACGTATCTCGATTAAACAAAAAACTTAGACAGCCAATAATTCAATCATAGGAAAGATCCAAGTATGTTGAGTTAGCAGTGTACTAAATGTTTCCTCAGTCCTCAGTCTCTTATAATGTTGATGATTTCCAGAATAAGAACTTATTAACTCTGATCTTGTAGGTTTCCGTGCAATCTAATTAGAATTTCGTTATCCTCATACGAGCCCGCGAATTAAGATAGATCTGAATTTTAATCAGATTGGTTTCCATTTACAGCCGTATACGAAAAAAAATGTAAGAAAAACATTAAGCTTATAAACAGATAATTGAAAAAGTTATAAAAAGAATTGAATTGGTGTTATTTGACATACATTCATATACCTCATTACACGCTACGTTAGAGCACTGGGATGTTGTAATGTCTTCTGATTCCATGGTATATATGTCATCTTACTTATTTGGGTTATTTTTTTTTGTAATGTTTTTAAAAAGAAAATGTAAAGTAAAAAAAATATCCTTTCTATATTTTGAAAATTGGCGAAAACATTTCGATTTTAGTTAGCCGGTATTTGTACTATTTGTACTGTTCCAAATTGTATATATAAAATTGAGAATGGAAATGGGGAATGTGTCAAAGAGAAAGAGCAGAAAACTATGAAGGGCCGTTTGGGTCATAACTCATTTTGTTACACGTACGCTAGATGTACGCGTAACAGGTCGTTCACGTACCCTAGAGGTACACGTAACACTTTGTTAACGTAACCTAAAGGTACACGTAACACTTTTTTCACGTACCCTAGAGGTACACGTAACACTTTGTTCACGTACCCCAGAGTTACGCGTAACAATTTGTTCACATACCCTAGAGGTACACGTAACTGTTTCTTCACGTATGCTGAATAACCTTTATACCCTATGAACAATGAACTCGCCACGGTCTGCTTGAGAATACTTACAACATTTTATGAACTTGATTTTAAGTTTTAAAACTCGGTTAAAGTTATTGATTTAAACCTATATTTATATTAAACACTAATTTGAGCAACAGATTGTGTACATGTGAAACAGTTTTCTTCGTTTTGTTATCGTTTGTTGCCAAATTTCAAGCAGTTTTTACAGAGTTATCTCCCTTATCCAATACACATCCTTAAAGGATATAATTAATTTCTTTCCGGTATAATTTTAGATATCTGCATTCATTTCATGGGGATTTTTTCCTAGTGAATACTTATACTTTTCCATACACAAAACATTTATTCTTCTGTTGCAAGTAGTTTGAGGTTGAGGGATAATGATATGATGTTGACACAGATAATCCATTATTAAGGAAAAGGGATGACAGGTTTTCTGTTGCGGTTAGCTGCAGGAACAAACAGTTACGCGTACCTCCACGGTACTTTAACAAACTGTTACGCGCACCTCTAGGAACGTGAGCAAACTGTTACGTGTACCTCTTGGGTACGCGAACAAAGTGTTACGTGTACCTCTAGGGTACGTGAACAGTGTTACGTGTACCTCTAGGGTACGTGAACGACCTGTTACGCGTACTTCAAGCGTACGTGTAACAAAATGAATTATGACCCGAACGGCCCTTCATGGAAAACAGCCGAAGGCCACCAATGTAGTTAAATGGCAATTGAAAAGATCGAATTTATTTGATATAAAGAGAATGAAACCAAAATTAATAATATACATGCGCATAGTTATTAGTGATGTATTAGTTGCATTTAACTAAGTTAACACATAATTATACTCCCGCTTTAAAAAAGTGGAGGTATACTATGTTACCTCTGTCTGTCCGTCCGTCCGTCCATCCGTCAGTCCGTCCGTCCGTGCGTCAGTCCGTCCATCCGTCCCATGAATATTTTTCGTCGCATCTTTCTCAGGAACTACATCTTAAGGATTTCTGAAATGTGGTTTCAGGGTTTATATAAGTCAGCTATACCGTGTGATGCGTTTTCAGATTCATCACTCAACAACTTCCTGTTTACCGAACACTTACATATTTTTACACTATTAAAATAATCCAGTTGCGGCGGGGTATCATCAGTGAGCAGTAGCTCGCAGTTTCATTTGTTATAAAGATCGCACATTCTCTTTTTTCATATTATACGCTGTTTACTATAAGCATTATAAATTTTTTTCAGGAGGCACTACAGATATCGTTGTTCAAGAGAAGCTATTGGACGGAAGACTGAAAGATTTAAATAAACCTAGTGGGGATCAGTGTGGTGGAACATGTGTTGATAAAGAATTTATGAATGTTATATCGCAAATGCTGGGGGAAGATGTGATGCGTAAATTTGAACGTGACTATCTGCAAAAGTATTTAGAATTACAGAGAGCTTTGGAACATGTTAAAAAAGCAGATCCAGAGAAAAGAATTCGAATGACCATACCTTTTGTTGCTTTCGATAAAATTTGCAATGAACATTGTAAAAAGAGTTTCTCTGACGTCTTGAAAAAGTCGAAATATAAAAATACAGTTACATATGTGAACAATACGGATAAGGTGCAATTTTCGAAAGAGTTATTTTTGTCTTTATTTAATTCAACTACCTCCAGAATAGTTGAGTTGATAAGTCAGAACTTGGAAAACCCTGAATGTAAAGAATTATCGATGATATTTCTTGTTGGGGGGTTATCCGAATCAATAGTTGTTCAAAATACAATAAAGAAGGCATTTCCAGACAAAAAAGTGATCATAATACACGACAGCATTACTGCAGTACTCAGAGGGGCTGTCATGTACGGACACAATCCAAATATAATCGCTTCAAGGATTGTTAATCACTCCTACGGTATTTCAAGCAAAGAGAGATTTGATCCTTCAAAACACCAAGAGAGCCGAGCTGTAACTGTTGATGGTGTAAAACGTTGCCGTGATACTTTTCATAGTTTGATTTCAGCAAACACACCAGTTGTTGTGGGAGAAAAACGTTCACATACATTTCATACAATAGAACCATTCCAGGACATTGCTACTTTTCGTTTATTTTCATCTCCACATGAACATCCTGTGTATATTGATGACAAAGATTGTAGACACTGTGCTGACTTAAAGATAGATATTCAGAGTCCGTCAAACGACAGAATTGATATAGAAGTTGATTTTCAATTTGGACTCACTGAGCTTGCTGTAACAGCAAAACAAAAAGGAACAGAAAACAAATCAAACGTTCCAATAAAGTATAAATAAACACATAAAAGTTATTGTTCACGTTAGACTAGTAGGTTAGATTAATTATCAAACGATGACTACAGTTTTACGTTAAAGAGGATGTGTATGCCAGTGAGACAATAACCAATGAAACAATTAATGGAAAAAGGCATCATAGATTTTCTTTCAATTCAGACTTCCTTCCAAAACTACATATTTCTTCTATGCCATTTATGCAAAATAAATGTTTGGAGTGCGTCATACAACCTTCCATTGCTAACAAGGTAATTGTTAAAGTTTCAGTCATGAGGTCGGAGTTCATCTGAACTTGGATTAAGACGTGGTGTTGGGATTCTTCTCCTGTTCTGGTTTTCAAGAATAGTTTTTTTTATCGTAAAAATATTTTTTGTCTTTTGAATTTGATGTCATTCGTTTTTCCTCGTTTCCGGTGTTTTTAAAAAGTCCCCATTTTCTTTTTGAAGATTTTTATTTCTTATTGACAATTGTGTGCGCAAAAAAGACCGTAGAAAACACTTAAACACCAAATCCCAAAACGGATTGTCGGATTTTCCATCTGGAACAGACACATAATAGAACATACGCCGATATTAAAGTATAGCTATAGTATTGTAAATAATCAACCATGCACTGCGTCTATTGTATAGGAAGCGGTTACATTTGTCTATATCCGCAAATTGCAATCAAAATTTGTTTACAGCCGATTGCATTGAGTGTGTAGGTAAAGGTAATATCTTTGGTTAGCTTGCTTGCTATCTGAACCGTGCAGTCATTATTAGGTTTGGTAAACTACCCTCCTTTAAGAGTAGACTAGTCCGACAGATAACCAATCTATCTGTCTGTAGGACTAGGCTACTTCGAAAGGAAGGTAGTATACCTTACCTTATAATGACTTCACGGTTCAGCTAGCAAGCAAGCTAACCAATGATATTACCTTTACCTACACACTCAATGCAATCGGCTGTAATCATTTTTTAAATTTGATTATTCACAACAAAGGTGATGCTTTAATTTTCCCATTGTGAACTTTCCTTTTAAGTGAAGTAACATTTAAGCAGTAAGACACGGCTTTATTTAAAATCGGTATATACAAGACAATAGTAAACACAAGCTCTGGAGAGCTTTTACAACCTATACGAAACAATTGTTTTACACTAGTCATTTTGGGGTCCTTTATAGCTTGCTGGTCGGTGTGAGCCAAGGCTCCGTGTTGAAGGCCGTACTTTGACCTATAATTGTGACTTGGATGGAGAGTTGTCTCATTGGCACTCATACCACATCTTCTTATTTATACTTATCATTTATAAATGGAATTTCTGTGAATAAACAGATGACCACGGGTATTTTCCACTCCCTATGGCCACAATCCCGTCCTCTTTTCGATGATTATGACATAAATTCAGCCCAAAATATTACAAGCAATGAGTAACATTACAGGTGCAACTAGTAGATCAGAAACTGCTTACCATTCTAGAGCATCAAATCTGGTTTTGTTATAAAAGAGTTCAGCTAGGCTTTTGTTTAAGTTTTCTGCGTTGTATTTTGTGCTATACATTTTTCAATGTATGTGATGTTTAACTAGTAATAGTTTCGTCTATATTCTTGTTCTGGAAGCCATACTTTCAATCCCAACTTTCACGTTCGGTCAAGTTTTAAGGTAAGAGAATTTACATCACCGGTATTTCATAACGCAATAATATATTAGTGTTGGACAAGACGATATGAACCCAAGTATTTTGCGAACCCCGTGTTGCTCAATCTTTAGCTTTATGGACAGTTATTGAATTTTTCGTCTGTTCTAATTGTGGTTCCCTTGGTATCTTCTCCCTCTGTTTGTTATTTTATACTTTATAATATTTACGGGTCTAAAATAAAGGCATACAGTAATACTATTAACAAAAGGAAAAAAATGTGACAGTTCACACCGTAAAATTATATTAAAGATATATACAGAGGTGAATACAGATATATGTTATTCGGGATCTCTGCAGAAGGTATGGGTTCATGTTCCCTGTCAGTGAGTCACCGAACAATGGGATAGAGGGCAAAGACATACTGGGAAGTACATTTATTATAATGGAGTACCCTGATTTCAGATTTATTAATATTTTATTCTTTGTGTTTCTTCACAGGGGAAATGGGTTCATTTTCCCTCTCAAGGTAACCAATCAAATGTCATGATTAGCTGAGATATTTCACCCCAGTGTAATATTATTTAGTTCATATCATTTGTTAATCTAAACACACATTTATGCTGAAGTAAGGGTTTCATACGTCAACATTTTGTTGTCTCTGACATTTAAAAGAACCCAAAACAGCATCCTGATAGTGAGGAATATCATTTAATTATCAATATTCTCTGTACTTTATTTATTTTGGTGTGTTGATATTTTACAGTGCTGCTGTGTAGGACGTTGAACCGTGACCCCGACCGAACGAACGGTTACATATGTCTAGTTTCGCAAAATCGCAATTAAGATTATTAACCAAGTAATTTGTTTTGTTTATTTTTTATTTTGTTATGTACTCTTCTTCTACTTTTTACTCATCTGAAATATTCATTTCAATTCATACGTAAAAAAATGAATACAGGTAATTTTATTTTTAAAAACAAATATGCATGAATATTTCACAAATTCCATATACATGTAATAATATATGATAATCTAAGTTTTGTGCTATAACCCATACAGCTTCCTGTGTAAAGCACAAAGTTGGTTAATGGGTCCATTCATGAGGTAAAATTCTATGTATTTTAGCTATTTGTATGGAGGCTTCTGCTAATGTTATTCTTCGTTTTGACATCAGATAAGCTATAGCTACTTCAGGAGCTTTTCTGCATCCAGCGTTACAGAACAAAAATGCTTTACCTGCAAGAAATCTAAAAGATTTCGTACACCTTTCACACTGCTTTGGAATTGTCTATTTCCTTTAATACTGTCCCCTGAATACCAATTAGTATATACTATTCAGCATCTTCAATTTCATATTTGATATACTTTTTATAATATTCAAGAATTAAAAGTGCAATCTTTTGCATCATACAATTCTCTTCATTAAGTGGCGAAAGATTGCAATAACTCTGAGGGATCAGTAGGTGGCCTGTTGCAAGACAATTTTTGTCCTTAACCAACATGCCCTCATGTTCAAGTAGCAGTTTAAATTTCCCGACCTTTATGTTGGCCGACTAACCTTGCAGAACCTGCCTATTGAATTAATTGTTAATTTGTTCTCGTCCTGAATGTGCATAGAATATTTGCCACTGGACTTAAAGCAATCAATATTCAATCAATCAATTAGTGCATATCACCAGGTACATATGTAGCACACAGTATAAATGCCAATAGCTTGAATTCTACAATTACATGGGAATAATCACAGGCTCTTGTCTTTGCATACAAAATACCTACATACCTTATAAATGTATATAGGTAAAAAGATCAGAGACAAGTGCCTATGGTACCTCAATTTTACTAAGATACCAATAATTTAAAAATTCTACTTCCTTAAACATAAAAACATTCTTTTAATTTGACAAACAGGTTTATTATTGTTAGATTTAGTAACCAGTCAATAACTAAGTAAAGTTGTAATCTAGAACTTCATGCTTTCTGCCGACCTAGTGCATAAAGATGTTTCTTGTATTGTCATTTTAAACGGTTCTGTTAATATTTTGTAACCCTTCTGGATTTTTCCTAGACTATGCTGAGCAATATTTTGCACAGTAAATTAACTTCTATATTTTTTAAAGCTTACATCTTTAATACACCCTCTGGTAATATGTTTATAAATTCTTTTTATTTCTCATGAATTTTTCATTCATTCAGTTTAAGGTTCATTTAATCACATACATTTTGTATAAAACTCCAAAAACAAAACCTATTTTTGTAAAATGATTGTATCCCAAAAACAAGCACACGTACCTATCTTAATGGTTTCCATAATTTTGATGGATTATATGGTTTATCTTGAAAAAAGTCATTTATGGAAAATGTAGATACTATTCTCATCAGCAAACATCGGCCGAATCAATTTGGAATATAATACTCGGGAGTTTTTTTAATATACATCATGCTAAACAACGCTCAATATTTTTTTTTTATTTAACTGTCTGGAGGGTATAATAACATATTTGAAATGTAAATGTGATAGAATCTATAGAGAAACTATCCTCCTGTCTTATGAAATTTGTTAAAATATCATTATAAGGGTTTAGTTAAACTTGAACATGATCTTTCTGGGTTATCTTTGGAAATCAAAATTTGTGTATTTTTAAATTAACGAATTCACAGATATTGTGTGAAATATAAATAAAATAAAATAAAAAAAAATAGACCAAAGACTCATATTGTTCTGTTGCACAAAGGTGACCTACTTCGTAATCAATATTTTTGTTTCATGCTGAAATTTGAAAGATCTTGATAGAAAACTGTAGGAGGAGTTTATTACACAAAATGGGTGTCGTCTTTTGTAAATTTTGCTGTTAAATGACCACAGTTCGAAGTCTGGAAAAATGGATGATGGGAATAGCGGTGGACCGTAATGAACTTAGTAACATGTTCGGATATATATCATCCTAAATAAATAGCACTATACGTACCTCCTTTTCTGATTATTCTATCTATTGGGTCTGCTGTTTCCAAAAACAAAGAAATATAATTTCTTGTTTCTAATGCCCATGATAAAAAGTTCCTTCTTATTTTCTGACTGCATACTAGAACAAAAAAAAAACAATTTCAATACATCCAATCTTATACTCAATAAGATAAGGATTTCATGTCCTTAAGTAAATTAGGTGTCTGAAAATATTCTGTGAAGCATGGCTATAGGCATGTTTTTCTCTTTGATGACAAATGTCAAATGAAACATTTTCCCTTTGGACATTATCTACGATTTAGACAAACAAAATAAAATATGTTTTTTTTTCTTTTTTTTTGTTTCAAACATTTAAAAGAGCAGAACATTAAAATAATATTTTGCTATTAGCAATCAGTTTGGTCCAAGTCTTCCAAAATAAGCTCAAAAACATCGCTGATGTATTATTGACCTTCAAGTCAATATTTCAACTCATTTGAATTCGTATTCATGCGACCTTGGACTTTGTTGGATGTGGCGGTTGCGCATGTGGTCAGCATCTTCAGCGATTGAATCTTTACTAAGGTACAAATATACGTACTTTGTGTCTAATACCTTTTGTAAGTTGTTTCTTAAAATCTGTAAAAGTAGAACTTCATTTCTCTGTACCCTTTAAACAAATCAAACTTAT